TTTTAATGCTTCGTTTTGCGCTTAATTCATAATTATCTTCGAAAATTGGCTATGGGCTAGCAAATTTCAGCCAGAAATATCAACCATTTGAAAGGATATGAAAAGACACGAATACACAAAACACCACTGCAAAAAGTGAAATAATTTACAATTTTGACTTGTAACTTGTATGAACTTTAACATGCGGTTCCTTTTTCTTTTCTTCTTCTCTATCATACCAATCCAAGCCCTCGTTTGCTCACCAAATTGAAATTTAAATCGATACTTATTCGAGAGAGAGAGAGAGAGAGAGAGAGAGAGAGAGAGAGAGAGTTAGGGAAAGAGAAAGAGTGACAGATCTGCTGCCGTTGCTAAGGTTAGCAAAGATGCAATTCCGCTTTATTATTTTCTGCCCTTTCCATTAACATTTCCATCAGTTGCGCTTCTTTTGTGCGTATATTTTCCATCCATTTCGTGGCGCAATTTTCATATTGATTTTGCTGCTACCGCTCAACATTCGTTTCATCTTCTTTCCAATGTGACTGTTGATCGAATTTTTAGCTGGCTTCACGTTGCAAACTGCTGCCGTTGCTTGGATTGACTCTGAAAAATATATTGAGTATATCCGTACAGCGTGGTGGAATTGATGGCAAAAGCGAATTGAAAATAATGTAATCTAAGGCATGAGATAGTATGCAACGGAGCAGGAGACGACATGAATGAAGGGTAGAAGAAGAAGGAATAAAGAAGAAAAAAAGACACGATGAATCCTTGAACAAAGCGTCATCAATGAAAATCCATTATGTATAATGCACAACTTATATATTTTGAAGCCATAATGTACTTACCAAAATAAGATAAAGAAACGGCGAGCACATGGAAAATGTGTATGTGTGTGTGTGCTGATGAAAAGAGCAACACGACAACGACTATTTACAATTACTACAAAGTTTCACGCGAATCGCACGGAACGGAGATAGTACAGATCCGATCACACACACCCATTTCAACTGACACTGGAGCATAAACGAGCGACCGTGGAAAGTGATGGAAAATAAATCATCGAATGAGTAGAAAAAATCGGCTATTTTGTACGCTGAGCTCTTGTCACATGAAACAACATCAAGCGTAACCGTATTAAAATAGTGAGAAGAAAAAAGCGTATGAAAACCACCATTTTATTATGGCTTTAAAATAACGACAAGAAAACGCAAAGAAAGACATGATCCAAAAAAATGTACGATACAGAAAATATCGAAAGGAAACGTTGTGACGTATCTGTCGATGGTCGAAATTTTAAATTACACTATGGACCAATTTCTAGCATACTGATGGATAAGAAAAATAAAAACAGTCATTGCACTAACACGAAGCGAATCAACACATTTTCATGATTTGATTATCGTCACCGCCGTCGTAGCAGACAAATCCAAAATCTTTGTCGCAAAAAAGTCGACTATTTTCTTTTTTAAAAACACTACAAATCGACTTTTCTACCATTTTTTGTTGTTGTTGTTTGGCTTTATATACCCGTTATACCGTATGTGAGTTTTTGCTGCGTATTTCCAATGCAAATCTTTGAAAAATATTCTGTAGAGTCAACTTACAGAAAGCCGCATTTATATTGTCACAATACATTAGATTTTCAAGCGTAGTTTCAATAGTAGTTGCACCATTGCATTACCGAATAAGCGTACGATGCTTTTGTATTCCTCCAACAATAGATTCACAGCACCGAAAATCATTGTTGTTGTATGCAGCATACTCGCACTTTTTTCCGTTCTTCGTCTATTGTTGAGAGTTTTGCAATAAAAATCGATTTACCAAGCATCAGTTATTTAAAAATTCTCGATACGTTTGCTTGTATGTGTCTTTTTTTGCCTCATTTGACGCAAAATACAGAACATGCATCGAAATATGCATGTAAAAGTGATTCGAAGCGTAGACTGCCTAATAGTAAACTTTATGTCTGAAAGTCATCTGCTTTAGATTTTGCTCTTTCTCCCTTATGCCCAGCCAAATCGGTATAAACACACTCAAGGATTCAATGCATTTAATAATGTTGCCAGAATATGTTCATCCTACTCTTCTTCGAGCGCTGTTACAATGATCCTCGCTATTAATTCCATCAGATGCATGCATTGAAATTGAAATGTGAGTGTGTGTGCATGTGGAAATGCGCTATATCAACACGCTATCTCTATTTTTTCTGTATTTCTCACTCTCGCTTCCATATTTTGGACGAAAAACATATTTCGGATAATGCCAGACACTCAAACACAAGCTCTCATTCGAGAGACACTTGTCTCTGCTTTCCTGTGTATTCGTTTAGCAAACGCGCGCGTAATTTACTCGGTAAATTTTCAATTCCATTGCTGTAATTTAGTTGTCATTTGACATACTTACATATTCATGCCAAGCATATGCAGATGCACTGATTGATAGTGTTGCCAAGTTTTGTATATTCGCCTTGCTCTCATTCACTCCCTCCATCGGTCTGATGTGTCATTCGAATTGAAAATTATGGTCCATTCAATTTCCGCTTGGCACACCATTTTAGAAAATCATTTTAGATTGCTAAAGCGCTTGATTACATAAGCTCGATATTCGCTCGCACATCGCACCGCACACATTCACTCACATGACGGGCACATCCGTCGTTAAGCGCAATGCGTTCTAGTCTGCCAAACATACACACCAGTGCGAATGTATATTTTGTACACCTATTGTTTACTGACAGTCATTAAATCTGCATTTATTTTTTTTTCAAAGTGTACATCTTTTTGTGGAACAAAATAAATAAAATTGAGATGATTTTAGACACAATGCATCGCCATACAAAAGTGGATGCCATTATAATTCAAATATTCGAGCATTTTCCTTTCTAATTATGATAAACATCATTTGGCACACGTGTCAGAGCGCGCATCGAGCACTTACAAGACTACTCACTCACACGCGCTTTTCATTCATACATATTTTCAATATGGCACTTTTCTTCACAGCCCAGTAATTTTGAGTTTATTAAATAGATGAATGAAATGAGGACCGAACACACTTGCACATAATAAACAGGAGGGGTGCCCATTTCGAATGCATCATTAAATAATGATAAAAGAAAATTAGCGATGTACTCAATGACGAAGTCAAAGATATAAAAGTTGAACTTACACATTACAGTGATTGATGAAGTTGCAAAGAGAAATAGCATAAAAAGAACCGGAATAAAGAAGCATGGAGCAAAAAAAATGAGCAAGCATTTGGAAATTCTCATGACTTGGTGTACGCAATTTTTCTTTCGTTCTACGATTAAATCACGTCCCTATTTGGTCACATTCCTCTTCTTTTTTTTATGTTGAATTCCGTTTTTAAAGGAATGTGTGACACATTAAGCGTCGGTGGTTTTGGGGTATACATTTTTCGGCACTACACCCTTGCAAAACTATTCATCAAAAATAATGAATTTCTAATGATAATTAAACTATATCTGTTTTTCGCCTAGTCATTAATTATGGTTTTGTAGAATGACTTTGTCAGTCTTCAACCTTCGCACATAAAATGTGTCACAATGAAATGGTTTTGCAAACGAAATGCGCCATCCATTGTAACAACAATATATTCATGTGGATAAATCATACAAGTTTTTCATTACATTTTAAGCAAAATGCCAATTAATAGTAGTTAGTTGTGGCACTTTTCAATTTACTCCGGAAACGGAATGGAATGGCAGACGGTCGTTCCCGCCGAATGATAATTAATTGATTGTCATACATCAACGAATGCGCTGCCATCATATTTATATGTAATTTGCTCACTTTGTCAAAATAGAAAACATGAGAAAATTCAACACCAAACCATATAAATGAACGAAACGAACGGAAATGCCACGATCATCCATTCATCACGTTTCGAAGCAACGAACAACGGCCATGCTCTCGCATAGAATTTTAATTGTAGCTAAAAAACCACAAAGCGCAAACTATGGTTTTGCTTGAATCCCGGAATTGGATTTTATGTGTGAATGAGAACGCGCGTTACATTACACACGCTGTCTGCTACTACACCAAAGCGAAAATTTGTGTGTTTCGAACCAAACCTCTCGCTCTCTCTTTATCTCTGACTGAATCTGAATATTTGTGAACAGCAAACACAAAACCAACACACACATTGCATGAGAAAAATGAAACTTTAACATAGTTTGAACAAAAATACAGTAGCACAGCGCGAAGCATCTGTTAAGCTTCAACCACAATATTCAACGTTCAATAAATCTCTTGGCATCGTTCTCTAATGATTTTAAGTCGAATGATAAAATATAGAGCCGCATCTGTATGTTAATACAGAAAATAGTGCGCTTATTTGTGTGTGGGTGTGTAGGATGTGGGTTTTTCATTGCAAAGACAAGTTTCTCAGACGAAGGCAGCAAAATAGCTGCTGCATTTATTTTGTTGTAAGAAAAACGTGAAAATATATGACAACATATATTTATACATATGGAGTTTATGGAATAATCGAATGTCTACGTGGAAAACACATACAGCCACACATTTATGTGGTATCCACTTTCGTTCCTTTAATCGTGAACCACGATGATGCAAAAAAAACGAACACCAAAACCACATGTGTTGATGTTATGAAATCATGAAATTTTATCACGAACAGAGCGGTAAAATCGTACATTATAAATATGAGTTTTGCCAGTTAGTTGGCAAAGCAAACGGTGTTGAAAACCTTCAATAAATCGATAACATTTATTGAGTCTTCATCAATTTATGGCTATTAGCTTATGCAGTACCACTTTACTTCAATTATCTTTATCGTTATGTGATGAGTTATGATGAGAATGTGCGTGTACTCCGTTTGAAAAGTTTCATAAACGCATTGATCGAATTTTGAAACAAAAAAAGTATCTGAATATAATATCGTGGTCAGCATTGAATGCACAACTAATATTGTCTGTTTTTTTAGGTTTACTCTAATTTTCACAATATTAAAAAAATCCTTTTTTCTTCTCTTTACAGGCGAGCTATATTAGGAAATCCAGATGTAGTATATAGCACACCATTAAAACACATTGTGCAAAATGATTTTTGGGGAACGCCCATAACGGATAGCGGAACACATGGATCATATCGGCCATTGTGTGTACTGAGTTTTAAGCTGAATCATTTGTTTGACGGTTTCAAGCCCGTTGGTTATCATTTGGTGAATGTTCTGTTGCATTGTTTGGCAACTGGTCTTGTGGTGAAAGTTGCTCGTCACGTATTACAATCGATATGGGGAACGATTGTGACTGGTGCATTGTTTGCATCTCATCCGATTCATACGGAAGCTGTGGCCGGCATCGTTGGTCGGGCCGATTTGGCATCGTCTAATTTTTATCTGTTAGCCTTTTTAACCTATTGCAAGCACGTTGTGTGGCGAGAACAAAACGATAAAAGATGTTGGTCAGCATTAATTGGTACGATTGTACTTTCGGTAGCGGCCGTTCTTTGTAAAGAGACGGCAATCAGCTCATTGGTATTATGTGGAGTTTATGACATTATCAGAGCAACAAATGGTTATCGAGATAAGGTAAGGCATTACCTAGTTACTGTTGTTATATTATCCTTATAATGCACGTATTATGTTGTTACATTTACATTTTTATGTTTCAAATAAATACACTTAAAGCATAAATTTACATTTTCGATTTTTGTTTTTGTTTCGTTCATATTATAGCATCGAATGCGATCACTCACCATCATTTGCGTGGCGACAGCTGTTATTCTTCACTTCCGTTTATCGTTGCTGGGTTCGGCGATCGAATTTTCAACGGCTGACAATCCAATCGCTAAATCACCATCGCGGCTTACACGATTCTTAACATTTCTATATTTGCCCGCTTTTAATTTTCAATTGTTGCTGTATCCAGCCACATTGAGCTTCGATTGGGGCATGGACGCGATACCAAGACTGAATAGTTTATGTGATTTTCGTAATTTAGCCACGCTGATATTTTATAGTGCGTTAGTTTTTGCTGTTGCAATTAATGTGCATCATTTACGTCGACGAATGCAATTGGTGCAGGCAATGGCAAATGTTCACTATCGCAAACCGCGTACCATAAAGAAACGCAAAGCATTTCAATTACCCCAGACAAATTGTAACAATAATAATGGCAACAGCAGCAGTGGCAGCAGCGGCAGCAGCAGTAGTAGCAGCAGCAGCAGCAGCAGCAGCAGCAGCAGTTATAGTTTTGTGAATACAAACTCGAATAATATGCTGCATAGTTCTAGTTTGAGTACAAGTTGTAACAATAATAGCAGTAATAATGCAATTAATAATAGCAGTTATTTAGCTAAAACAACGGAATGTTTGTGTGAAGTATGTAAGCATGGTTCAAATGTTCGCCATTCGAGCACTTGTCGTGCGATTAATAATAATAATGTACCACTGGTACGGTGTGAATGCCCTGAATTTCGTCATTCACCGTCACCGCCACGCAAACGACGCCATCAACAAAATCATCATCAGCAACAACAACAGCATCATTCGTTTGTTACGAATTCGGCCACAATCTATAATACCTCATCTTCATCCGGCTGTTTAAATGGCACATTGTCGTCAACAATGTCAACCATTGGTTCGAGTAAAATTTGTAAAAATAGCCCAACTAAAAATGTTTCGAGCGCAAAAAGTGCGGCAAATCAACCGAATAATTATCAAAATTCAAAGACATCGACATCGGTGGCGACGATGGTGACAAAGGCGACAACACCAACATCAACCCTCAACGATTCAACTACAAATCATCTGCATATATCACATCCATCGACGACCACATCGGCCGTTATCATGTTATCTATAGCAATGTTAACGCTACCATTTTTACCCGCCACTAATTTATTCTTCTACGTTGGTTTTGTTGTTGCCGAACGAATTCTATATTTACCCAGTGTGGGTTTCTGTTTGTTAATCGGCTTAGGCGTTAGCAAACTGATGGACACAAATCGAGGTTCATTAAGGAGCCAACGAAAACGGTTTGCCGTTTGCCTCTGTATCGGTTTAACAGTGATAGCCTATAGCATGAAAACGATTAACCGAAATGTCGATTGGCGAGACGATGAGAGCTTGTATCGCAGTGCAATCAACGTTAATCCACCAAAAGGTATATGGTTTTTTTTTAATTCTCTTTTCTCAACTACACATTTTCACAAAACTCACACTCATTCGGCTCATCATCCTTGAATAATCTGACACATTCTTTGTGTGTATTTATGTAAAAATTAATTGGACGCGGTTTCAATTGATTCCATAATTATTTGCGAATTTGATAGGATTGTTGTTTTTATTCACCCCATTGTTTTTGCTTTCTGTTTACCATGTTATGTATGCAAGTATCAAATAATGTATATTTAAAAATAGGGAGGCACAAACATACGAATAAATCGATTGTAATTTGCTTTGATTTTGGCGAATTATCAGGAAAAATATACGGATTTGCATAACATGAGCCGTGTTTATTTTAAATACGCTTTCGTTTCCCCCAACTGTTTTTTTTAAATGAAAAAAGAGCCCCTACTCTCTCTCTTCGTTTATCATTCGTTGCTGCTTTGTCAATGCGGTGTTCAATTAATATATCTGATTTTTTTCTTAATCGCATCATTATGTTCACCATATTTAATTAATTCATCTGCTTTTAATTAATGGAAAGTGATCAGAAAGATGAGAAAAAACGTGTTTGATTTCAATTTTCCATGATTTATTTATGAATACATATTAATTTGAGCATGCAAATATACAAACAAAAACCTCAACCACCACTCCTCCCAGAACAAATGGATTTTGTAATAAAAATCTGTCTGTTTCTCATATAAATGTGTGGTTTTAATTGGTGGCAAAATGATAGCGATATCGCTTTTTTTATTCTGATTTTATTTTAAGCCGGTGCTGATTGTTTTTAATCCATTCAGTTATATTCAATTCAACAAACAATATTATTGCCGCCGGCCCCGATGCCATCAATCAAGCGCAAAGGAATGATATGCAAAAACCACCAATTTGCAATGTATTTGATTGCAAAGTCTATAAAACATTTTTTTGGGAGGAATGTTAATTTTCGGAAATGGATTTAAGCTATATTATACCCGACAAAACAGGATATCTATTTAAATGAATGAAAAAATAACAATCTGATATTCACCAATCACTGAAAATGCGATTATTACAAGCTGCTTTAAAGCTAAAAAAAACGAACGTGAAAAGAATGTGCTTTTTTTCAATTTGATTTTTGTTAACGTCAACCGTCACATTGTGACAATGTTGTTAAACTAAAAGAATGTAAATTTAATAGAACGGCTTTAAAGTTTGGTTACTTTGAATTGGTTTCAGACCGACAAGTTACTTACGAAATAAGTATCCTTTTTTTATTTCAAGAAGATACTTTGTGGCAAACTGTAGTGGCATTTGCTTAAGTAACACTTTTCACATAAAAAAATATCATCAACAAAAAACTTCTGCTCTTGGCATTTGATATGCCATTAAAATTGTTGTTTATTTTCGCGAAGTTTTTTTTTATTTCAAAACCAGGCTAAAGAATGTTTTTTGTTGCATCCTTGCATGAATGTAAATCAGCGGCTTTTTCTCTCTCTTTTCCTTTTCCCCCTTTTTCCTACCTCTCTCTTCAGGATTTTTCTTAATTATGGCTTGTTCGTAAAGAACAAAAAAGTGCATGTCGCTCTTTCAAACACAAAGTGGCTGCATAGAGTTGGGAATAAATCCACCAATTAAAACTAAACTTTTATAATTCATGGATGATGATGTCGAAGAATTATGATTTTTTTCATCTTAACTGAATTTCTTTATGTGCTTATATTTTTAGCTTTAGGCAACTTGGGCAGCGTTCTCAGCTCACAGGGACGGTACGAAGAGGCAAAGGAATCGCTGCAACTTGCGCTGAAATATCGACCGAATATGGCGGATGTTCATTACAATTTGTAAGTATATGATATTAATGAAAATCGATTGTCTCGCTTTCGTTCGATTTGGTTTTTATTTTGACTCGTCAGACATAAACGATTCGATAAAATGTGCGTGTGTGTACATATACACATAAAATCAATTCTCTGGAAATAAAATATGTTCTGACACAACAATCGGATAAAATGCTTGAATGGCATAGTGTGTGTGTGGGTCATGTATTCTATCTGTCTGCGTATATTAATCTTATCATTCGATGTATTTGTTCAAATCACATAAACTTTTATTATGCGTTAATACCTAATTTAATCCATTTCACCATCGATATGAAGGTGGCAGACAAACAATAAATGTTTGTTTAAATTAGCTTCTATCACATTGTTTTCACACATTCTGTTTGAACATTTTCGCATTGGAATGGGTGTGGACTCGAGTTTGTCGCGCTGTGCAAAACTTGACTTGCTTACCAATATGTTTTCGCTTGTGACTTTTCACACATGAAATCCATAGAATTTTGTTTGTTGTTCATTTGATTGTTTGACGTTGGAATTATATTTCGCTTCGAAAATGTGACGAAAACATCTGAAATGAGTCTGTAATTTTTTTTAATAATGTTCGTAAATCATGTGAAAAATCGATGATCAAAACGGTTTTCAATGAATAAATTTGTGTTTAATTTGTCGATGTTTTTGTTCCGACTGGCTGAACAGACACACTCAAAAAAGCTTAAAAAATGTAAATTGTACGATCGATTTTCATGTCATTATGTAAACGCGAATCATCATTTCTTCCATTTTTATTTCGCTCTTTCTCTGTGTGTGCCAATTCATAACGGAATTTTTAAAGTGCCTTTCCAATCATCTCCGGTTATATATATATTTCTTTTTTTATTGTTGTATGTTATTCATGCTTTCGAATGAATTGGATTTTTCCGGACTTTTCAATATTGGAATATTTTTGCATAATTTTTCTTTTGGAATAATCAAAATTGACGTTTACAGCTTTCAACATCGAAATCATTCTCATTCTCTCTTAGTCACTATGCTCCGATTTATGTTCACAGAGCCTTTAATGAATTCTAGATATAATAAATTTGAGTAAAAGCAAATCACGACATGAATTGCTACTAGCAAAGGGCGTATTCGTTAGTAACCAAAAAATTCAATGCAAAGCCTTGGAAAATTGATAAAAAAAGAATATCAAAAGAATGTGAATAAAGGGAGAAAGAGAATCGAACGTGTCAGATATTGTAGCAGACGGTTTCAATTCCGTCGTATGTTCAACAAATGTAATCAATTTGTTTTAATTTGATCGCCTGACAAACTACTAAATATGCATGATTGTACTGGACCCAAGTGGGGAGCAATATTTTCTCTCTTCTTCTTCTTCTTCTTCATTCGTTCTGTTCGTGTTTGCTTTTGTGTTCATTTGCCGGCGTATTGTGACAGAAAAAAGCGTTACTAAATTGAACGAAATACGTGGTGATTGTTAATGGAATGGTCTTATCTTGTGTAACAGAAACACCACCGCCACCATCGCCACACAGTTCAATGTAACATATTCAGCATGTTGGCTAACACATAGAGAAACGTGACACGCACCATCCCAAATAGCATAAAACGTAGGCGAACACAAAAGTTTCATCATAATTCCCCATTGGCTTCATTAAATTCGTTTTATCAAGATTTTTTTTTCTTTCGAATCGTCGACATAATGACGGCACACTATTTATTTAAGGCTTTCGTAGATGGTCGAAAATAATGAGCATTTTCCCACTCACTTTCAATGCATAGTTTATGTTGTTATGCAGTAGCCAAATCCCAACAATCGCACTAAACAAAACGGAAAGCGAAATAAAGCGAAACACATCGTTGATATGCCCGACACAGTATAGTGTGAACGCAAACAAAGAAAATCAAATGTCTGAAATGAATGCGCACGGTAATAATCGCCTCCTGTTTCCTTTCGTCATTTAAACGATCCGTTTGCATAAATTTTAATAAATAACTTCGATGAGGTGTGCAAGGAGGAATGAAAAAGTGTGACTCATTCAAAAAAATGAAGCAATATACGGCGCAAGAATGCCTATGATTTCATATTGAATTTTACTTATTTGCAAATTGAAAATTGACGACAGTTTTTAAACTTTTTGGTTTGAGCACATCCATTTGCCGGATCTACCGGAACGAATTTATTTCAAATTACGATTTTTTTTCCAAAGTCATTCGAATAGAAGTCAAGTCACAGAATCGAAACAAATATTTGATTAATTTTCATGCTGAGCCGGATGTATGGTATTGACTTGCATTTGTGGAAACAAAGAAAAAGAAATCGCGTGTTCACATTACTTTGAATAAACATTTAGATTGCACGCCGAATTTTTCACTGTTTTTCATTGTGTGAAATGAATGATAAACTATTGGAAACTAACCTCTCATTCAAAGTTTCAAAACAATCAACGTTATTTATAGTCAATTCAATTGGGACATTTTTGGGACAAAATCATTTTTTCGACATTTTTAGATACTGAACAAATACTTCTTAATCGAAAGTTTCAATTTGAAGTTGAAACCAAAGCATTAATTTCTCGATGCTTTCGAATCTTTTCAGGGGTATTCTGTATCAAAATCATCAACAATATAAAGACGCGATCGAATGCTTCCAAAATTCGATTCATTATCGGCCATCACTGGCGTGTAAGTGTCCCTGCCCAAATTATATTACCGCTTTTTTTGGACTACTGATTGAAATAAAAAAATTGTTTATTTTATGAATATTAGTGGCTTATTTGAATATGGGAACATCATATATTGCTTTGGGTCGTTGCAATGAGGCGGTTAAAATTCTTCGTGAAGGTTCAAAATTGGATGGTCATGGTTTGCGAGATCGAAGTGCCCACGATAGTGCCAGAATGTCGATGCTTGTGCAGTTAGGTAGTTTGTATGCTGAACAAGGAAAATTACAGCGTGCCCTATCTATTTATCGAGAAGCATTACACAGTCTTCCGAGAAGTTACCCACCACAGGTGAGTCGAACTGAACACCATCCCTCGAATCATATGAAACTAATTATGATGTTTTTCATATGTAGAGTATTTACCAAAGACTCGGCGATACATTGGCCCGAATGAATCAATGGACAGAGGCTGAACGTTTTCATCAGGCCGCATTAGAAGTGCAACCGGATCATGTCGCAACGCATGTGTCTTATGGAACAATGTTAGCTCGAAATGTAAGTAAAAGCAATAAATAAATAGATTATTCACTGAGATTGAATCCATTACACGATGATTAATATTTCTTCTCATTTCCCTTTAATGTGCACAACAGAGTAGTCGAACGTCTGAAGCTGAACTGTGGTTCAAACGAGCATTAAAATTGGCTCCGGACGATTCAAGTGTTCGTCATCATTATGGTGAGTACTTTACATTATGCGATATAGTTTTTCATGGAAAAATCATAATGTTTATGGCATTCTCTCTGCACAGCTGAATTTCTGAATTCGATGTCTCGACACGAAGAATCGTGTGAACAACGTATCAAAGCAGCCGAACTATCGCCAAACGATTATTCATTAGCTGTGGCAGCTGCTACAGCACTTCGATTGTTAGATAGAAAAAATGAAGCTGAAAAATGGTATCGAACGGTGCGTAAAATAGAAACACTTTGTATCAAATGAACTGATTTTTTGTTCGCCCTCCTTAAATGAACGCAATTTATTCTGAATGGTTGATTTTTTTTTCGCAGGCGGTTCGATTACGGCCAGATGATGCACGAGCACACACAAATCTTGGTGCCATATTACATCTATTAGGTAAACCGATTCAGGCAGCCATTAGTTACAAGGAAGCTCTACAACTTCAGCCAAATGATCCAACTACCATCGCCAATTTAGCGAAACTTGGCATTTCAGAAATGGCTTAGATTTGTGCTCTTTTTTTGCACTTCCACAAAACTAACTTAAATTTTATGTATATAGCGCATTTGTTTAATTTCTTATACAGCAAAACGAAAAAGAAAAAAGAAAAAATACACACTCACAAAAAAAATGTAAATCACATGTCACATTCTTCCAACCAAGTAAATTCTAGGTGTAATCCGACAAAAAAAGGATTTTGTAAAGAAGACGAATGAAGGAGAATAAAACCTATACAGAATGAATAAAGTATAAATTATATTTGTTTAACTGCAGCGTACATGCGCATCAAATATGCATTCCGAACAAAAAAAAAGTTAAATAGAGCAAAAAACCATAATAACAGAAACTGGCATCTGCAATACCTCTCGAGGGTGTCATTCTGTTGAAAATAAAATATTTCCAAAAATTTATGACTAATGTATAAAAAAAATGTAATGTAAATAGTAAACATTAAAAAAGTAACTCATATACATACGCACGCATAAAACTCATGAAAAATCATCATCCAACAAAAAATAAATGTGTTTTTATTGCAACATACGCACCGCTCAGAGAGGTAAAGGTAGATAAAAAAACACACTCGAATTCGAAAATGAAAATGTGCAGATTTAAAATGAACAATTTATTATTATATGAGTGTAAATATAATATGATTGTGAAATATTGTACTGATTTATAACGGAATGGCTGGGAGGCGGACTGGGCAAATTAAAATATTCAAGTAATGAATCGCCCAACATATTCGTATCCCATATACATATATATATCACAATTTTTAATAATCACTGTTGCATTGAAAATATACGCGCTGGATAATTCATAAGCCACTCACATAAAATACAACAAAAACCAACACAATCTAAATAAAAAATTATTGTACTAAATAATAGTGATGGTATGAATAATACTGCAAATTGAGAACAGAATATATATCGAAAGAGAAAAAAAACAGTTATTTACTACGGATTGATTTTACTTTCATTGAAAACTCCCCCAAAAGAGCACGACTTTATACCAATGAAATTTGAACCAATTTAATTAACGTATAATATCTGTTTCATAAATACTAACGACTTTCTGTCGTTCCATTTTCCGCTATTTCCAATGCAAATTGAATTGAGCCAAAAAATGCTCATGTTTCATAAGAAAACAAATAATTATTATTAAATCGAACTGCTTCAAGCTATTGATGACATGATTTTTCAGACAGTGATTTTCTTTTCGATTTATATTGTCACGTGTATTTTACAGGAAGTGTACATATATATATCGGTGTGGGAACCAACTCATAACATTTTAGCTGAAAAAATGGTGTGGAATTACATTTGTTTTGTTGAAAACCAAAAAAAAAAGAGAGAGAAATGAATTAAATTTAGGTGCTTGCCTCAAAAAGCCGACAAAGAATATTGTAAATTTGTGTATTTTTGTATCCAATGCAACGCTGGAGATGTTGAAGAGCATTTTTGATGAAAAATAAGAATATTTGATTGGAGCTATATTGTATTTGTAATAGATGTAAACAATTTCATTTAAAAATGTTCTAAATAATCAATAGATATCCGTCATTTAAAATGGATATTTGCATGTTTTATTTTGAAAATCAACAACAATCATTTTGATCATTTCATCCCATCATTCCAAACAAATTGTTTAGTCAAAATCATCTACAAATATTAATCCAGTCGAAAAAGTGTACATATTTAAGATTGCCTGTAAATATAGATTAAAAATTAATATTACCAACTATATTTGAATAAAATGAAATATGGGCATTTTGTGAGAGGAGCTCAAGCTATAATAAATAAAACAAACGAAAAAAAAACCGGCAAGAAAATTGCAGAAAAATTAACTCGCTTCAACACTGTTTTATTTTTTTTTAGTTTTGTTTTTGTCATTTGATTGTACGTCCAAAGTTTTTCGGTTGGATGGGTGAATTGGTTTGTTTCTTTGTGTTGTTGGTGATATGCTTTGGTGAAGTCAAAAGTTAAATCTACGAAAGCGATAAATTTAAATCCGGTCGATTTGAACTTGTAATGAAAATAATTTTCAATCCGACGTGGAAAAGCTACAAAGAGTTACACATACACACACAGTTCACGACCACCGTACGTGTATGTTTGTGTATGAGATCAATGGCTATAAATTGATAAAGTTTTCGCTTTGCGTGTGCATTTGAACGATTGAATGGATCGTGTCTTCATCTCACAAGCCTAGATTGCCGAGCAACCGAACAGATAGTTGCGGTTAAATGAAATGAAGAAATACGAAAAACTTGGCACACAGCTACCAAAGTAACAAACGACTTTTACACCACTGGCAAATTGCAAAAAGAACATTGAATGAAAAACAACAGGAAAAAAGGACGACAACAGGTAACGAATGACGACGGAGAATATAAAGAAAAAAAAAATCACCCCTGAAAAGAAGAAGAATATATCCAACGAAAAATCGACATCAACGATGGAAATGGATTGTTATATGTCGTGTGCAAGCAATCCAAATGGCTGAAATGAAAGTTTATGTCTGATGTTGTCGACTTTTAACTGGTAGACTTCTATTATGCTTTTATTTTGTTTAACATAACAACCACCAACGATGGCGACGACGACGACGATCCAAGTGGTCGCACAGTGCGTTCCGAATGTGAACGGAAACAGAATCAGGAACTCCCGAGATATAGTCGACTGTATGATGCAGGACAAAGAAACGGTTTGTAATAGAATTATGGGTTCAATCATGTAGTTTATCTTGTGTTGTGGCTAACAAATTGAATCAGTTTAATCGGTTTGCACGGCTCCAGTTGACGGCACAAAGAACACGTTCTGTTACATTGCACACCTTATTTGCTATTTCAATATTTTCCAATTTAATATTTATTGCTTCTGAATTTTGTGTATGTGAGTGTCGGTGTGTTTATATAGTTTCAGATTGAAGCTTTGCTTTCGAATGAACTATTCGTCCATTCTCTTTGTATATCTCACCCTCTCTATCTCTATCTCTGTCACCATCATTCTCTTCTTTAGCACATTTTGTCAATTTCTCTTCTTCTCTCTCTCTCTCTCTTTACGTACTGGAATTACAAAACTTGGTCTCAACTCAATTTTCACCGTGACATTTATGTGCAACTGTTGGATACTTATATCAGAAGCTATTCTCTTTTGGAAATTGAACGTTATCGTAATGAATTTACTATGCCAAAATGAAAACATACATTCACAAATCCATTCAATTCGTATCTCTATCGATGTATGGTTATTTCGTATGAATCTACAAACATTTCATATTTAAAGCAACCATCACCGATTCACTGTGAATCATTTCGTATTCCCAATCCAATAAATATGAAATGTCTGCGTTTTGTATCATTTACCTTTTTGTTAGAATCGCAAGCGACGTAGACGAAGGACTAGAATGTCCAAGATATTTCATTACTCGAAAATTATTACAGTGCAAAACCGGAAACAATGATGTGCAAAGCAAGTGTTACATTGGCACTATGAAGTATTACGTTGTCGTAAATGGAAAGCAATCAATTGCGTTGAATCACACATTTAGAAAGCTATATAAGCAAAGTAATATAGACACAATATAGCCTATGATGATGTTGTACATGTAATATCAAAGCGGAGACATAACATTTATCGACACACAGTCTGTACACTTTTTAATTTACCTAATCGTAATTCCAGCAAATAAACTCTAGCGACAAATCAAACGGTCGAAGCAGAAGCTTCTGCACAGCAACAGAAGGAGCGTGCAATTGACATTGACAGTAGTTGTAATCAAACAAAAAGTTAAATAAGTTAAAAGTTGTTGTCTCATCTTCGATTTTCCGTTGGCAGCAAAACTTTTTATGTGGTTATAATATATATATGTGAGTGTGGACACAAGAATCGTTTCTGCTCTTACGCAATTGTCTGAACATGAAAATACACTTATAAATCGTTTACGAAAAAATTGCACTCACACCCATAAAATAGCATAGGTCGCAATGAAGAAATGATTAGCCATATGGTGTTCTAATAAATTGTGAAAATAGGTCGCCAATATGTGCCAGTATTTTCTATGCGTGCTCTTGCATGAATATGAATCCAATGTGGTCGTAGCATTATAACCAATGTGTTTGGTCCTATTACTTTCCTCTCTTTCTCATTTGCGGGCTCTCGTTATTCCTTTTTTTGCCGTTGCCAAACAGTCCGATCGTATTTGTGCATACTGATTTCCGAGCACACCATTTATCTTTAATGAAATGTTGGCGCTACCGAAGCCGATAATAAATAACAACCAGAACGATCCATTTGTTGCTTCTGTGGTGGTTGTGGCTTGCTTGCACACTATTACTATATATATAAATAAATTGCTATAGAGAGTGGAATGTTTTTTTTAAAACCATTTTGTATTGAGAGAACTGGTCGCGGCATAATGCTCATATATAATATTTATATATAAGAATGATTCGCTATTAGATGCGTTTGAAATTTACCAAAGGACCTCTTTTGAGTGTTAATTTTTGTTCTTCATTTATGTATTAAATTATTCATTACATTTGAACCTACTTAAACGCCCCCAGTTTTCTGAATTTTTTCTAGTAATAAGTCAAAAGATGGATAATTAGAATACTCGAGATTTAGTCGAGTAGCTGTTTTAATTCGTATGAATATTCAAGAAATATGACGATTTGTTTCCATAAAATTGATCTTCTGCAGTTCCTCATTGGTTAAAAACAGAAAATTGCCAATATGTTAACACGTTATATACCGGTGCTCACCAAATTTTGCTATCCAAAAATGTATAGAAGAAGCCCGCTGATCATATGAAAATTCCAAATTGGCCACATCTTTTGAAATTTAAATGATTTTCGGGATACGCAGTTCGAACATACATAGAGCCCCCGACAGCCTTAGGTCTAAAATCGAAAAAAATTTGTGGAAAGAAAATAAAAATGCTTCCGAAGCAATTATTTCATTTGACTGATTGCTTTAACGTTAATATTTATGAGGGAAATGCCTATTTTTTCTACTACCGAAAAAAGATTAGCAATGTGTTTGGAAAAAAGTTGATATTTCTTTAATTTTCCAAATAAATTTTACCTTATCGGATGATGATTACTTAACGAGACTTAGCACATTAATATTGTTGGGAAGCGAGTTAATTTTTGTTGGCTTGTTTACGAAAAGTTTCATCATACTGAAGATATGATAAAAAAGGCTACCGTCAAAATTGAAAAGTAACGGAGCCGGAAAATATAATTGGATTATAAGTGAAAAAGTTTTTCATTGTGCTTTTTCAGTGCAATTTTTCCCACCTACCCAAAATATATGAAATTGAAAACATAAGTACATCCGAAAAATTTCCCATAATCCCGTCCATTTATGTTGCTTACATATTTTTCCCTTTCATCAGTCGAATTGGTTATGTTGTAGATCTTAAATGCAAAGTCCATGTATGCATAACAATTGCAAAATTTCATTTTGCTACAACGAACTTTTCATCGAGTTCACTGTTTCGAGTCAATCTCCCTAGTTTTTTTACCTAAAACTTTCAATTTATTGTATCCGCTCCAAAAGTGTACCGATGTGTATAGTAAAATTAGTGAACGACTTGAGAAACCGAATAAAAAAGGGGAAAAAAGAAAGAAAAATGGCAACAAATTTCTGAAAAACTTTTTAATGTGCTGTTGAGAGTAGAATGAAATTTTTAGTGTAAAAGCATTTTTGTACGAGAGAACGATACTACAGTGGCTGATTGATGAATATAAAGGATGCATTCCAAACTATAAACTATTTCATGTTTTTATATTGAAATTACTTTAAGCCAGTGTAGAGCAAATAATTTCGGAGAAGAAAACGAAGAAGAATGAGAATAAAAGAAAATTGTTATTTACCTCATTAAAAATGTTCAATGTCTATGAATTGTTTACGTGTTAGTAATTATTACTAAAATGTTGAGAGGCTGATAAAAAAGCTTATCAAACTTTAATTGGATGTCTTTAATGTGAAGAAAACAACATGCGGCTCGATTTACTTTTCATTTATATGAAATCCAATTGAAATCGCGTATTTTCCATCAAAATAATATGGAAGATTGAAATCTACACAATTAGAGATGGATTTAATATAATACGTTGAACATCTTGACAATGATTTCATGTCACAATAGAAAAACTCCGTCACAATAATGCTAATAGTAATAATAATTCTACAAAGGAAAGCTCTTCACAAAGAATTGTATATGCATGTTCTTGTTTTAATAAGAATTTCATGAAAAAAGATCTGATGCTTGTGAGCTTTGTGTATACGTTTGTGCTTACGCCAAATGGTTCTCATTTATTTATTCCATGTTCTATTCATGT